ATATACTAAAACAGTGAGATAATATACACCACCAGAAATTGATTTTAATTCATACATTCCAGCAACGATTCAAACATTTTCACGCGCAGAAGTGAACAAGTGAGGTTACGCAAGATTAATTTGCATTTGTAAACAAAATCTTTCTCAAGTTGGTTTTTATCGATAAACTCCGGGTTAAAAACTTACACATTACCTTTAAACACGGCCAAACCAAATTTAGTCGCTTTCTTTGCGTTTTCAGGGACTGCTTCGTCGTTAATTTGAGTGATTTCTTCGCTTGTCACGGATGCAAACTGGGACGCCATTTTTCCCCGAGTTGCTCGGTGGTAAATAGCAACGGATATTCGGAGTTTGACCAGCCAATCAGAGCGCGCCTTCAACGCTATCCACTGTTTTAGTATATACTAATAAGCATTATTATAGCCTACGAGCAGGTCGTTAGAGAGAGAGCGTTCCGTGACGAGTTCAAATTAGGGCTTTGGAGGGGAATGCAGGAAGCGTGGTGTCAAAGCAGGTTATTATTGCCAACAACTATTCAGACACCAGCATCAGTTACTAAGTGTCCCATTTCAACCCACATATCCGAAAAAATAACTCCTGCATGCGTAGCATGCCTATGTTTTTAATTGGGCGACGACGCGAATTAAACCAACTTTGGACAACAGTATTTTTAGATCCTTATAATTTCCTACAGAAATTGTCAATTGACTTTCTCACAAAAACCCAATGATTTTCGGTTGCTCATAATGTTTATTTCAGTATCCTCTTTACAGCCTGTGAAATAAATTATCTTTCAGTTACTGATCTACAGTCCTGATTTTCTACAACACTACAATTACGGTAAAGTTGAATATTCATGATCCTGGTTTGATCGCTGTCTTCTACAAAATTCGCTCAGAAGGTAACTTGAAGTTTCGTCGTCCCTCTACTGTTCTTTAGATTGGTCCATCGTGAGGAAAGTGGTATCTTTTTTTCTCAAGGATGGGCAGGTGGACTGCGCAGTCGCACAAAATTGGCGGAGGTGATAGGTAGCCTGTGAAAAATGAGATAATTGAACTTAAATTGGCGGGAATAGCAAATGTTTTGAAGATTCTGAGCGAAAGTCGCCATCTAAACTGAGAAGTCACAGAATGCCAACCTATCATGGTACTGATATGAGAAAAGGTTTGTTAAAGCCGCAGAATGCCCATTTAGGCGACGTTTTCGATGTTACTACCACTGTCTTCTTCTCAAGGCGCATGGTACAGTTATCACATGTCATTTCCCACGAGTGTAAAATAACAACCCATGAATGTTAAATAGTTGAGTACTATTTCACTCGTTCTTGACTTCTCACAGCTGACCAAAGACTGGTTGTACGAAAGATCTAAGTTATACTAAAGGCTAACTCTGATTTGATATACATTGTTGAAAAATCTCTATGGATCGTTCTAGTTGATGGCACACTGAATATTTTGTCTAAGGAGTTGTAGCTGGTTGTGTGGTCCGATCGTTCAGGAGAGAGTAGTCTAGGAGAGACTGTAAATATGAAAATGACTGACGTCTTGACAGCCTGTAGGTTTGTACGTTTGATATAACAAAAACTAATTGGTCAGTTTAATCTGTGATGGCAGTGGCTGAGACTCAAGTAAATCAGTTGTAACCGTTCATTTTTAATCCATCAGTTCGTTCAATTTCAAACAAAAGGAGGACAAATACAAATGGAATAAGTACTGTTTCTTATTAAATGTGTTTAAAATGTATTTAAGATGCTATCAATTGCGCCTGCGATTTTGATAGACATTAGTGAATCTAAATTTTAATTTCAACTCCATGGAGATATATCATCGAGATATCACTTCACAATACCACACCTATTATGAAGTCTATAACATGCCTATATACCACTCAATTTATGGTTGAGGCCGCGTTGGGAAAGTGCCATCTCCCCGCTAAAGCAATGAAGAAATTTTTTTTTAACCGCATGCTCAGAATTAGATAAAAATATGTTTCTGATTCTCTTCGGAAATTAGTTTTAAAGAACACCGGTGGACAACTCCCACACTTCATATCTCGATGAAATTCAACTCGAAACATTTTTAAGAATTGTAATATTTTCATCGATTGCTCGTACACAGAAGTTGCAATTTCATTGTAGTCGGAAAAAACCGATATTTACATACAGTAATTAAATTTGAAATAAAATTTAAAATATACTTAAAACGAAAAAAATCTCATATAGTGATAATGATTCGAACAGAACGTCTCATAGTTTGAAACCCGGCCTAGAAACTAATTTGTAGACTGAAGTAAAAAAGTTTAAGGAATGTGTGTTTCTACTTTATTTTTTACCAGTATTGATGAAAAAAGCAAGGAAGATTCGTCTTCTATTGTTACAATGACATGTTACTCAAGAAGATGATCTGTCTTTCCTTGATTTTTTTCGGATAGAAGCGATAAAAATGGCCAGGCGTACTTTTAACAGGAGAAATGCGAATCTCACTTTTGTTCAGGGCAGTGTGAAGACGAACAATTATAAGTTCGCACATCGATACATCTTTAGCGTGACGAGTTTAAGTGGGGGAGCTACCTGTTATGTCCTGGTGGATAAAAAAGGTTGACATGCTTGAAGGAAATACAGGGAATATTTTACCTGAATGTTATTAGCGCCTCGTTTACCGTTACCGTTGACATGGATGTTCCCCGCTCCAGCTGTAAATGCAAGCGTTTGTGAACACATAGAGACGGCAATTATAACCAGCAAGAGAAAAACGCTCACTTTTAAGGTCATTTTCGACAGAACGGCTAGTGCAGTGAGAACAAAGTTGTCTTATCTTAATCCAATTCTAATGTGAGGTTCTCTTTCGTAGTCTTACCGCTTTTAAATTGATTGGTGATGAGTATTTTTCCGGCCGATAGTAACAAGCGGGCGAAAGTTAGCGAGGCTAAATGATAACACATTAAAACCGGTAATTAAACAGAACAAACATTTGACGAGATTATTATTGTCTTCCAGTCTTAATAAAACGATCCTGTTTTCTCCCGTAAGCAACAGAAAGTAAAGGAAAAACAGAAGATAATTAAACTAACAAAATATGCAGCACGTTTGTAAATCATCTCACGTAAAGGGGATATATACTGTTAATTCACTTACTTCCAGAGCCGTTTGTATATTTTGTTAAATTGAATTAGGATTCATGACAAAATCAGCGGTAATTCAATAGTAAACTTTTGTAAATACACCAAATAAATGTATTTGTTTTTAGGCAGGAAGCATTCTCTTTAGTGTATGAATTTTATGGGAAAGTTTCTCAGCTCACGTTTAGAAAAACCCTTGCAACACATTTTCAATGTGTGAAAGGTACTTAAGGCTTACTTCACAGATCTCTGCCGCATTTTCTTTGAGGAATAACTCTTCAAACGTAACTCTAAATTTCCAATGCGCCTAAATATTGATTAAGTTCAATGTGTTTTCGCCAATTACTATTAACATATTGTAATATTTCTCACGTTTTCAGCCCTCGAGGTTGTGAGAAATTTCCCCACGCATCGTTTAGACATCGCCAGTGACATCAAAATTTAATTTAAAGTTATTGAGTTGCCTATTTATCGCTAATTGAGATATAAATCGGATCAATTTAGATACAACACGAACATTTATTTGAATAAAAAAAGATCATAAAAACAGCTATTACGTAAGGAAAATGAGCTTATTATTCTAGGAATAAACGCTTTCCTTTTAAGGACGACGCTGAACGTTTTTCCTCGTATGGTTTTCAGTAAATGTTTTTTCGACTAAAATATAATAATTCGTTCAGGAAAACTCCGTTTACGACAAATGCAAACGCTTCTATGACTTGGCGCCTGAAGATGATGGTCTATGAGTCGAATAACTGACGTACAAATTCAGTGTCGGTCACAGAAATCTGAAAAATCTTTGACACGGAATAATCAAAATAGGGGACAAGTTTACCATCTCAAAAATTTAGTTTGATACTTCTAAACTCTCCCCATCACACGAAACTCTCTCATCACACGATGTTAAAAATCAAAAAATTTTTAGTAAGAAAATAAGTTGCACACAAGATCCTTGCCACCCACAAAATTGGCCGTTTGCAATGGCGAATATCTCAATGTGTTTTATCCACAAGAAGCCCCGAATTTCTGAGACGCTCTTTCCAGTCTTGAAATTACTTTTTCCTTTAATTGACGTCTTTTCCATGCAAACATGTACGCCAATGAAGAAAAATGTAAACAACGACAGCAGTCAAGTTTCTCTCGTAGAAAGTGAAAAACAGAAAGTGCGATCTACTTCTTAAAATACTAACGTTGATGACTTGTATGATACTGTTGCTGGCCTTAGGGTCGATAAGGATTTTGTTTTCGTGTAGTTTTTGAATGGAACTCTTTCCATACGAAAACACTTCCTTAGTTCTTGTCAGGAAAGTGTTAGTCACCCCAGTTCATGCCCAGTTTCCTCTTGGAGAGTAATCAAAACCGTCTAAGTTGACAGAAGAAGAATGGGACGGAGGAATGTGAAATTCATCAAAAACTTAGCCAAATTGAGTGATGCTTTTTTAGTAGCAAAAAATTGGTTAAATCTTAAGATAGCTCGCGGCTTTTCGCTTCCATCACCAAGGTTCAATTATTATTCCTTAGAGTATGATAGATTCCTATGAGTAAATGAAGCGCTACTTTACAAATTTAGGACAAACAATCTCTTTTATATTTTATACATCACACTTAAAAATTTGCTCTAATTTATTCACTCTTTCTTTCGTAGAAGACAAAGCTAAAGAAATTGAAAATTCTTTGTTATGTCTCTGAAAGCGAAGTCAGTAATGGATGGACGCGAAGCATTCCGCCCCCTCTGGGTATGGAAATTTATGTCTCATTTGATAAGAGCACGTGGCGATATGATTGGCTAATGTTCACTGTCAGTTGGTTTACATACACTAGCTTAAAATGTAACTTCATAAAGATAAGAAATTCAATTTTGTGGGACTAAAGCACTTAAGAGGAAAAACGAAAAATCTGCATTTTTGATCAGTTACATGACAAAATGGTAAATATGTGGCATAAAATTATTTGTTTGTCACAGATTTTTCTCAGAAAATAAACGAAAAGTCATGAAAAGTTATTCCTTGTAGGTCTCTTGAGTGCTGAAAAATAGATTAAGCATTTTTTTTAAAATTTTTTTTGCCCTGGGTAATTTAAAGAGGCGAAAATTTATTTCTTAACTGTTGGAGATATTTGTGTATTAGAGATCAGTGTTTAATTGTAACGATAAGTTATCAGGGATTTCACTTAAATGTTGATCGAGTGAGTCTGCCGTGAGGTAAATCATGTAATTGATAAAGATTGATATGTGATAAATTACTTATTTTTTTAGAAGAAGGAAAACATGGTAGGTGCGTGAAAAGAAATATCTTAAGTGGTTTAATTTACCTGAAAATAATTTTGGCCTCGTTTGCCAATATTCCCTGCTCCAGCCGTAAAGGCGTGTGTCTGAGGATACATGGAGACAGCTACAAGAACCAGTAGAATGACAACAGTGAGTCGTGGACACATCTTTAGGTGAATGTAGTCTGTGGCAAAGAGACGTGCTTGAATCTAACCAAATTCTCTTGTGAGTATTGCATGTTAGTACAGCACCTTTAAATGGTTTGGCAAGGCACCTGTGTTTCGGTCATAACGAAACGGTGCTTAAGAACAACCAAGCAAAGCGCTAAGTTAATAATACTCCTAACGAGATAGTTTACTTCCAAAGAATGGAGCAGTCTTCTCATTTCTTTTGCGTAATGATGGTGATGTTGTGTTCTGTAAACGAAAGAAAGCGGGATCAATTAGAAAATGGGCAACCTACGACTCAATAAATAAATGACATTACTTCACTTAATGCAAAGGAGTGAGGTTAGTGAAAACATTCTTTTTGTGTTGGCGTAATTGAATTGAACCATGCAAGCGATTAGACGGTATTTTCAAAGTACGCTTTGTTAGTTACCATTAATGTGTTTATTTGTTAAGTTTCTGTTGGACCTAAATGCCACATTCAAAACACATTCTCCCTTTAAAAGCTGCAATATGTGGAAATTTTCGTAGATTGACGTGCAATATTTAGAAACCTTCAATGGTGATCAACAGCTAAAATGGTTTATGACGTAACTTATAATTGGAAGTACAGCTTCGTTAAACAGAACCCTAAAAGCAGAGTTTGCCTACTGAAAAGGTGATGCTGATGTGATCCATCATTGGAAATATTCCCCGGACTTCCGTCAATGAGGAAATACGTTTTTATTCAATTTGCATTAACTTTTCATTTCCTGTTCGACGATGAGTTCTTTGAAGTTTCCTCTCCTTTTTAATGTAGTTGACGCTATTTATAATTAATGGTTCTCTAACTCTTCAATAAATTCATTTCGATTAAATTGAATTTAGCTGGTTTTTTATGAACATTAAATGGTTTAGGCATGGTGTAAATCAAAGGAAACATTGCATAGAAGCCGCAAGCCTCATAACCATTATGAAAAACTAAAAAGCGATAGAATGAGACTTAATCTAATAGTATGCCCCGTGTCATTGATCAGTTTGACATAATACTTTTCGAAATTGAAACGAAATTGAAACGAATTTTTCGTGTCATTCTCGAAGTATTTAGATATGTTTATCATAAAGCGATAGGTAATACTTTAGCCTTAAATACAATTCAAACATCTCTTACTAAAAAGCTACATTTACCGACAAACACCTCTCAGACAAAAAACACATCGTAAACTGTATGTTGCGCGCAGTATTTTCTGGCTCAAGCGAAAACTGTTATAATATTATCCATTGTGGTATTTTATGGAGATATTATGTACATGAGGAGTTCAATAAGACACCACCAATCACGCAAAACTTTTCAAGAAATTAAGATTACCATTATAAACTATGCCTCAAATATGAACACAAAATGGTTCTCTTCTGGGTTATAATGCGCTTGCTTTCTTATGAATTTCCGCCAGCTGGCGCAACTCAGTTTGTGGTGAGTTTGTGTTTAATCGCAGAAAAATCCTTAAACAGAGAATAAATATCATTTGTATGTTGGTCAAAAATATGACTGAACTTTTTTAATAATTGTGGCATTTTTAAAGAACTTTCAAACAACTGATAATCATGAAAGTAGTTCCCTTAAGAATACTAAAGTTACGTCAAAACATCTGTCTATAAATTCTGCTAAGAACTGCTCTCGTAAAATATCAATGGAGGGGAAAATCCTGGTTCTCATTTTAGTTAAACGAAAAGAGCGATCTTTCTTTTTTGGCTCATAAAGATAAATGGATGAAAATATTTCAACCACTCCAAGTTATTGCTTTTGTGTGTTTTAAAGCTCAGTCAGTTTTAAAACTGAGTTTAAAAGAATAAAATCCGAAGAACTGTTCAAACGCACGACATGGTGCCTAATACATATGAGCCGATTGTTTTGAACTGAAGGGTTTATTTCCAATTCTGAAAATATTTAATTTCATTGCAATGAAACCAAGGCATTTCTAAGGGCACTTTAGCATCTGTCATTTGTCAATAACATTCTCTGCCATTCCAATTTTCGTTTACGATACAAACCCAACGGTCGAACAAATTTCTCCTAAGATTTCTATTCGTTTTCCCCCGTTCTTCCATCACATTCTTCAGGCTGTGTTTAGTTCATCAGTCTTTGCTCTTATCAGTTGCAACTTAACACTCAGAATAAATTTTTCGTAAATTTCTCTACTAGGCCTTTTTTTTAACGTTCTCCTACGAAGATCTTTATTTTATAATTTTCTACTTACTGATCGAACCCATGTCGTTAGTAGCAAATCAACTTAGAGAAAAATTCACCCCCTCAGATACAAGGAAACTGAGTAGGGAATGATGATAATGATGATGAAACTTTATTAAAGTGTCTAAAGAAACCTCCTGAAAAAGAAACCTCCGGATGCGTTTTTCCCAGCTTAGGTTAAGAACCAGTGCTAATTAGGGGACACAACATAAATAAATATAAATTAAGGTAAAAAAAAATATTTGAATATAAGCGTAGGTATAAATGATATTGACAGTATTTGCAGTATGACAAATGTGTCTATGAAAGTAAGAAAAACACATCCGACACTTTCATGCGTTCAATTAAAACCGCACGGATCTCTAGATTAATTCGGTGAAGTCGTATTCAAAGTTTCCAGTTTTTTTTCATCATTTAATTTGGAAATTTCTTTACCGATTGCATAGGATTTTAAATCATTGCCTTCTGAGGTACACATAATGGCGCTTTTATAAATATTTTTCTGTGCTTTTATGTATTGTGTTCTATAAATTTCCTCCCATCCAGTATATTGATTGACTCATTCACAATTTGGTCAATTAACAGGAAGATCACACAATAGTCGGCAGTTTCCCAAAGACTCCGGTCTTTTGGTGACAATCATGTGAATAGGTGTTTGATTACTTCCGCTAACACGGCTGCACTCGATGATGGCATTGACAAGTATAATCAGGAGGCAATCTTAGAACAATTCATGAAGCATGTGGTCCAGAATTCTTTTTAGTATCTCAAAAGTGCTATAACGTAAAACAGTGCACTTACCCTCAGGTCTTGACGCGAGTCTGTGTTTGAGATTTTTGTGATATTTGGGGTTCAACAGTTCAAAGTAAGTATATCCCAGTTCAGTGTTTGTTTCAGGATTGCGTTTCTCCTCCAGCGCTTCTTTCTCTTAAATATGTCAATCTTCACTTTGGTTATGGAAGCCCTTGGCAGTAACTTTTGATGAGGGGACGACAGCTATAATGAGACGGTTAGTCCTCGTGTACATAAATTTTAAATTTTAAAAGAATTTTCACGCAAACTGTGTCGCAATCCTAAGTACAAAGATGGGCATGTGTTCTGGGCTGGGCAGCCCGTGCACTCCTCAAGGTGACAGTGGAGAGCAAAAGGGCAAAGAAAAAAATACTGATGAAATAAATACTGATTAAAAAAAAACACTTTTAGTCAAATAAACTTAAACTGCATTCTACATTACTATTTCATTTTTTCGAGTGTGTCCTCAGAACAAGTGGAATTTAGGAAATTTATACGATAAAGTGGTTAGTAGAGGTGAAACGGTCAAGATGATTGACCAAAATTCGCACCAGCCCGGTGAGACGTCTCAACCCATGACAAAGAAGATATAGTACCTGGTAGAAACGATATTTGCAGATATTGTCAATATTTCTTAAAAAAAAGGAAAAAGAAAAGAAAAAAAAAAGATATCGCATTCGCAAGTATTTTTTTTTTCACTTTTGGTTCCTTCTTGTAATTCCTGAAACTATTTTACGTATTAAATAAACTTTGTAATTGGACAGCATAAAATCTTCTTCATGAATATTCCATATCCTGAATAGCTCTGTTTGGGTCTCAGCTGTCTCAACAGCGATCGATTATCGATTGATTATCGATTCACCCCAGCGTCATTATTCGCACGACTTCGACGAAAAGTGTGATGTATTGCTGAGTTGATCTGGAATTCCGTTGTACTTGGTCCAAAACGACTGGGTGAAAGGACGTTTAAATGTTCAAGTCCAAGGCTAAAGATTTTGACAAAATATTCGCTCCAGTAAATGGTTTAAACCCGGGAGGAACATGTGAAAGCAGAGTCTGATCATCCGGGTGAGTGTAGTCCTGAGAAGGACTGTTTTGAACCCGGGGGTAACATGTGAAGGTGTAGTCTGATCATCCGGGTGAGTGTAGTCCTGAGAAGGACTGTTGTCGGTAGGGGTGACTGACGTTTCGACAACCCAAGCGGAAGTCTTCATCAAAGTCCATTCTCTGTTAATGATTAGGTGGGGTCGTCTACATCTGTATCTCACTTGCTCTGACGTAGGGCTAACGCTCGAAGCGTCAGATTTAGGGACTCTTAACGGTGGCCAATTTACAATATCAACTCGGTTGATAAAACCAAATCATCTTGTCATACGGCCCAACTGACGCCACTCCACAGTTTCTTTTTTACTTAAATTCATGAGTGTTATTAAAAGGATTTTCCACCTCCGCGTCCGCTCCAAAATCATCGTATATTGTTAAAATTGTAAAATGTTTTGGTTCTAATATATAGGTACGTAGAAATTGAGTTAAGGTCGGAAGCTTTAACAATTTCTGGTGTTAAAAGAAATAATTAATTCACTACAAATATTGATATCTTAATAATATCTTACCTGAGTGATGCATTTGTTTATCATTTGTGGTGTTTTTCTGAATGGCCTTTACATTTATTTTTCTAAATGGCCTTTTTGTACATCTCAAATAAATTTCTTTGTGCCTTGTTAAACTAATTTGTAACTTTTGAACTCTTGATCTAATCGGCTATTGTGAGAAAAGGTGTAAAATATATCCTTGCATCATACGGGAACACAAAGTTTGTGTTTTGGTTTTGTTTGTTTGTTTTCTCTTACCGAAAATTTATTTTACGCTGCTAAGCAAACCATAGGCTGAATTTGAATTTAAAATCAATGGTAATTAACAAGATTTTCATTGCAAAGAAAAAACCAAGTGAAACTTAGGAGTCTAAAATCTTGCTAACACAGACGCTTCACGTTTCATGTCCTTTTTAGCAAACGGTGCGATGAGATAATTTCGATAGGAATTTCGGGGGAAGTGTTAAGGACGGCGCCGTTTTTTTCCCGAGACTCTTCCGATGCAATATTCTTTACGTTTGGAAATGGAAATTGTTCAGTCGTTTTTCATTTTCTGAAGTATGGTTATTACACGCAATTGCATTTGTGTTTGTTTAGTGGTTAACAAGACCGGTGAATACCTCTGCGTAACACTTAACTTTTAGGGTGGTACAGTTTTTTTTTTTATCAAGATCGTGTTTCTCAGTGCTGACAATATCACCAACAAAATCCGGCATGATCAAAGAGTAAATTTAAGTTTGACACCGATATGATATTGGTTAAAGTGCACCTAAACGCAAATTTTTTTTTCGCTTAACGAAATAAGCTTATTTTTTGGAGTATTTCTGTGCAAAAGTTTTTTAATTTGCTCAAATCTTTAATTTTCTGTGCCTAGTCAAAATCGGCCGCCATCTTGCCCCACGACCGAGTTTAAAGAGGAATGGCTCTAGCGGGTAATGTGACGTCAAATCGAGAACACGAAAGTCTGCATTTCACACATTTTCACTTGTTTGGGAAGGTTGTCGTCGATATTGTCCGACTTTTGTATGCCACTAGGTGTGTTGTATGAAGAATGTATGAAGCGCGATACCCTCTAGCAAATTTCGCACGTTGCTACATCCTCCTACAACACACTTAGTCGGCATATTTTCGGACAATATCGACTACAACCTTCGCAAACAAGTGAAAATGTGTGAAATGCAGACTTTCGTGTTCTCGATTTGAGTCACATTACCCGCTAGAGCCATTCCTCTTTAAACTCGGTCCTGGGGCAAGATGGCGGCCGATTTTCCGTATTTTGACTGGGCAAAGAAAATTGAAGATTTGAGCAAATAAAAAACTTTTTGCACAGAAATACTCCAACAAATACGCTTATTTCGTTAAGCGAAAAAAGATTTTTGGGTCTAGGTGCAATTTAACTGTATACAAAGTAACTTAATGAAAGTTGTGGATGATTAATTTATCTGTAATTACGTTTTCAAGCTATTTACTTGATTGGAACATGCAAGCACAAATGCCACATCCAGACATGGAAGTGGAAGTCCCCATTGGTTGATTCGAGGACAGAAAATGGTTTTCTCGTTTTGTGGGAAATCTCTGTTAATTTCTTGATCCTCATTTTAAACGTTTTTAACAAAGCCACACTTGCTATGGAAAACTCAAATTGGCTTAATTTGCTATGAAAGAGAATACTAATGACCAGAAGCACGTTTGTTGTATTATGAAATCGTCTTTCGCTCAGATGATACAAAAGGAAGAAACTACATCTAAATTAACTTGATTAACTCAGCAGACATCGTGTCAAGAACTGGCGTAAATAGTGACTGAAATGGTTGTATCCGATCAAATTACATTTTCAAGTACGCTTTTGTTTAAAAATATCAAAGTAAGGAAGCTTTTTTATGAAAAATTCTTTGGGCTTATAAGAGTCAGCTAAAGGACAGTTAAACAACCAGTTTTAGTAGCTTATTCATATTGTTTGAACAGGAAGCAAATCTACTCCAGAGGGATCGCTAGGCTGCCCTCAAAATGAACATCAAAGCTTTCACAGTTGTAATAGCCGCAGTGTTTATCATCTGTGTTCCTGAAGGACAATCATTCACAGCTGGGGCTGGTGTGATTACCAATGGAAAAGAACCAAGAACTGGAAAACGGCAGCAGGTCAGTAATACGTGACTTTTTATTAATATTATAAGTTAAGATGAGGCACGATCCTCGCAGTAGAGAGCGCTATCTATGCAATAGAGAAAATCAGACCTGAAAAAAATCAGGTCTGTACGGGATTCGAACCACTGACCTCTGCGATACTAGTGCAGCGCTCTACCAATTGAGCTAACAAGCCAACTGGGAGCAGGCCGTTAAGTTGATTCGTAATAAACCCGTGATGATAAATCAGATACGATAAATATATGAAGTTCATATATTTTTATATCAGATACGATGAATATATGAACTTCATATATTCATCGTATCTGATTTATCATCACGGGTTTATTAAGAATCAACTTAACGGCCTGCTCCCAGTTGGCTTGTTAGCTCAATTGGTAGAGCGCTGCACTAGTATCGCAGAGGTCAGTGGTTCGAATCCGTACAGGCCTGAAATTTTTCAGGTCTGATTTTCGCTATTGCATAAATAGCGCTATCTACTGCGAAGGATCGTGCATCATACGTACAATCATAGGGCTTGACAATGCTGATAATCAAAGGGCTTTTTATTTAAACGAAGTGTAGCTTAGGTCCCGCGTTTTCCAGTGCTTTTTTTTATAAGCCTAGTTAATGGACACAGTTTGCAAAATTTACTAGACCGCGTTTTTTTCGGTAGAATATGCTTAATTTGGAACAAAAAAAATCCTACACAAAGCGTTTCACCTGTAAAGTGTCTTCGTTCAATTGCACGAACTCAAGGGTTCTTGATTTATTTAGAAGCCATTTTGCCAGTTCCCGTTTAATAGATTATTTCCAAATCTGATATGTTTTCTATTCTTCAAGCTGTCAATAAGAATTACGATGTCGGTTTATTCATCGAAGTAACTCAGGCATCAATTGCAGTGAAGATTATTATCAGTCCTAAGGGTAAATTAAGCATTTTCGAGGAATCAGTTCTAACTCTCAATGGATTTAAACTTCATTTCAGAATCTTGTCCTTTCTTCAGAAGAAATCGAGTTGTGCTGGATGGTAGAAGCTTACTGCTCTTCGAAAAAGAGGAATTACACATAGATCTGCTAGAGATGAATCCAAAGATTAACCCGTGTCAACACGTTGATGATAAAACACTAAATTTTAGGAACTCAAGACAAAGACTCGATCGCTTGACTGGCTAATAAAACTCACTTATGAAGTGTATTCTGGCTAATACGTTTCACTTTGAAGACTCGTTTTCTTAGTGCAACTAATGGGGATTGTCAGTGGTATGATTATTTTTGACGGCGCAAATTTTTGCTGATCGAAGCTCCTGAAGAAAACAATTGTTGTGTTCAATGTGTCTCTTGTAGTCAAACGTCGAACACGCTACATGTCGTTCAATCGATTTCACGAAATGTACAATATAAGCGAAAAGCGATGAAGCAAGCGGTAGAAACGTTGTATGACTAGGACGGCTAGGAACAAGAAAACCAAAAGCGGAGAAGACGGTAAGCGGACTGGATAAATGAAACGTAGCAATGGCAAAGCACAAATGAGCTAAAAAACGCATGCAAAAAGAGCCTTAACGAGACGAAATTATGCGAAAACACCTAACAGAATAATGATTACGTAAAGGCGAAAAAAAAGACAAAGAATGCGATAATGAGGGAAAAAATGCGCTTACAAACGAGAAAACAAACAAACAGTGTTACCAACTTTTATTCGCTCCTAACAGCGGCTTTACAGCAAATAAAACAAAACAATAATATGAATAGGCCAGCGGCAATCCCCCAAATAAAACAAAACAACAATATCAATAGGCTAGCGGCAATCCTCCATAGGCCATATACGGTCAGCGGTCCCTCTGTTCGGCGCCATTTTTAATGAGCGGATCTGCAAGATAACAAACAAGCAAACAACAACAAAATGAGTCCAAATTGAGGCGGGAAGGAGGGAAACTGTTATATGTCGTCTACTTTATCTTCGTATAATCCACATTATACTACAGGCTGCAAGCGGCCCTTGCATAATCTGTGATTATACTTCAGAACAGTCGCTTCCATATAACAGTGTCTGTTTAAAGGCTCTGTTTTGACTCATTTTTAAGATCCTAGTACAGCTCGGCCCGGTTGAGCATCAAAGCTTGGGCGGTAACAGAACTTGTTAAAGGTCGAAGGACCTGACCAATCTGCCAGAGTCAAAATTTGAGGTAAAGATATACCTGCTTCAATTGCAGCAGTGGCTACCGCACCCCGTGATGAGTGGGCTTTGAATATAGAAGCATCAACTTTAGCCGCACCTAAGGCTTCTTTCATCCACCGAGGAAGGGTAGAAGATGACACAGGTCTGTGAGGGCGAATGTAAGAGACAAATAACTTGTTTGAGACGTTTGCCTTAGAAGTATTGGGCCGAAAGGCTTCTATGCGTTTCTCATATTCTCCTAGACATTCAATAGGGCACAATCTAGCATTAGAAGGAAAACTGGCATGAAATGAGGTTTTAGCAGGATTCCCAATACCTGATTTTTTTGTTAATTGGGGAAGAGTAAAAGAAACCCCTTCAGGATAAAACGTCTGAATCTGAGGTCACGTGCAGCCAATTTAGACCCTCTTTCGGCAGATGTGAGGGCCAGCAGGACCACTAGTTTCTCAGACAGTTGTCTCAATGACAATTCTGAATTATCACCAAGGCCTTCTAAGTAGCTAGTGACCTGATGAACTTTCCATGTTTGAGTGTATCGTGGAAGTGGAGGTCTCTTGTTGAATATACCCTTCATAAGTTGACAAACCAATGGATGTTCGCCAACCCTCAGAGAATCAGTGATTGGGTCGGTCATGGATATTGCAGAACGATAGACATTAATCGATCGGTATGCCTTGCCCGAGTTAAATTCTCTTGTAAGGAAATCTAAAGCTGCTGATAATGGGGCTGAAATGGGATTAATCTGTTGTTGATTACACCAGCTAGCCCACTTTTGCCAAGCTGCCCCATAGGCACTTAAAGTGTTTTTTCGCCATGCAGTCATGAGCAGTGTTCTAGCCTCTGCAGAAATGCCTGTCTCTGAGTATGAACGGTTTAGACAAGCCATCCTGCTAACTGAAGGTGGGTTAGGGGATGAGTTTCCCCCTGCCTGGTCAACAGATTTATGGGTTGTGGAAGTAACTGAGGGAAGTCGACACAGAGTTGGAGGAGCAATGGAAACCAAGGCTGGGTTTCCCATACTGGGGCTACTATGACCAATTTCTGAACTTGTTGGAGAATGACTTGTTTTAGGCATCTCCCTACTAATGCGAAAGGAGGGAAGGCATACCCCGTCAACTGAGCGAAGTCTAGGGTAAAAGCATCCACTGTTTCTACCCCTGGGTCTGGCCTCCAGCTTGCGTACCTTGGGATCTGGTACGATAGGCGGGATGCAAAGAGATATATTTCCAGGGGACCCCAAAGTCTCTGAATACATAGGAAAATTTCTGGTTTGAGCTTCCAGTCGGAGTGGTCTACGACAGTACGCGACTCGTGGTCGGCCTGGAAGTTTTGGATTCCTGGAATATGTCGCGCCATTCTACTGTTTTGGCGTTGAAGACACCAAGACCACAGTTCGAAGGCAAGACTTGACAGAATGGGGGACCTGGTGCACCCCATTTTGTTGATATATGTCACTGCTGTTACATTGTCCACGAGTGAGAGAACCTTCACTGGAGTTTTGTGTTGAGTGAAGGCTTTCACTGCGAAAGCCCCTCCCATCAACTCTAGGCAGTTGACGTGGAGTAGTCTTTCGGATTGTGTCCAAAGGCCTCCCGTACGTATTCCATTGCAGACAGCTCCTCACCCTAGAATGGAAGCATCTGTCTCTATTGTTAGATTTGGGTCCCCATTCACCAAGGCCTTGCCGTTCCAAGCCATCAAGCTGTCTTTCCACCATATCAGTTCCTCTCGTGCCTGAGGTTAGAGATAGCTGCACCTCGCTTTCGTAATTCATTGAAGGGGAGAGATGCTGATTCTTTAAGTTTTGCAAATGGTGGTAATGAAGAGGAGCTGGAAAGACAGCTTGAATGGAACTGTTTAGCAAGCCTATCAAGCTTGCCAACCTTCGCAATGTCAGAGAAGACAATGTTTGGGCCTTTTGGCACTCCCGCTGTTTCTTACGAACTTTCTCGCGGGGTAACGCTAGAGTCATAGTTGTTGAATCCACTAGGAAACCTGAGGGGAGGGAATCATCGCTGACTTCTCGTAATGTACCACAAAGCCTAGATTCTCCAGTGCACTGAGAACTAACTGGGTATGTTGATTTGCAAGTTGTCTGCTTTCTACCACCATTATCAAAATGTCATCTAGGTAGACTATTAGTCTTACGCTCATTTTGCGCAGCATCTCCACCACTGGTTTCATGAGCTTGGTGAAGACTCTCGGTGCGCTGGCTAGGCCAAAGGGATGGCAAGCAAATTCCCACATTGTGCCCTTCCATAGAAATCTCAGATACTCTTGATGGTTTACCCACACTGGAACAGTGAAATACGCGTCCCTGAGGTCCAATTTGACCATGAAGTCGTCTTTTCTTAAAAGGACTCGGAGCATGTGTATCCCTTCCATTTTGAAATGAGAATACTCTACAAAATTGTTCAGGGCTTTCAAATTTATGACAGGCGTTTGACCACCACCTTTCTTGGGAGCCATGAACAGGGAGCTTACAAATCCTGGTTCTTTGTCTGACATTGAGGTTTTGTGAATCGGCCCTTTGTCTTGCAAGGACTTGATCTCGTTGTCCATAGCAAGAGTCTCCTCCTCTGAGAAGGGGAGGAGTGGTGGGAGGGCTACTTGAACAGGAGTTTGTGTGAATTCGATATGGTAGCCAGTGATTGTTTGACATACCCATGGGTCGTTTGTAATAAGAGACCAATTCTGAATAAAGTGGGCTAGTCTTCCTGCTACTGGATAATTGCTTGTACTTAAAATTGAATTGAGAGGAAACAAACCTTCGCTTAAACTGTTGGTGCTTGAGGAGTCCACTGTTGACCTCTCCCCCTGAAGTTGGTGGGCTGAGCTCGGGGTTGAAAACGCCCTGTTCCGCGGCTGCGGAAAGCTCTGTTGGCACCTCTGCCGCGATATGGGCTGCCTCGGAAGGGGCGGGAGTTGCCTCTCTATAAAAAACGATTCTGGGAACGCCCACGACCTGCATAACTAGCATCCATCAGCGTCTGTGCTGTTTCAGCTCTGGCTTTGAGCTGGGCTTCGAACACTGCACCAAAGAGTTTCCGTCCAGCATTAGGGTAGTCCTCTTTTCCCAGGGAGGCCAAAGAACCATGATTGTTGATCTTGTTTAGTACAGCCGATCGGCGTGTAGCCGATATGAGGGAGGACACATTTCTCACTAGACGCATAGAGTATGAGACTGCTTGAAGCAGGCTTTGGACTTGATCTTGAGACAGTGTTAAGTCCTTATTAGATGAATCACTCATGGCAGTCAAGTGTTGAAACAGCATACACAAAGGTCCTGTGATGTCAAGGACCTTGTCTTGCAAGAAGCGGTTATCTTTATCAATTGCTTTCGTTCTCTGAACAAGAGCAGCAATGTAATCATCCAGTTCAGAAGTATAAACAGCGTCAGCATTAGGCCTGGGATATTCCTGGCACATAGTTTTCCTCTCAAAGTTTGTGAGAGGTTTTCTAGCAACAAGTTCCAGAAAACTGGAAAGTTCCTCGCTTGCCACCCAACGTGCAGCTGAGGTACTATCATCAGAGGCAAGCGGCTCTGCGTCGAGGGCATCCTCGTGGTCAATACTACGATCGTCGGAACCCGAATTACCAGGGTTTGACCTATCCCACCATGGCTTTTTCGGTGGATTAGAATCAATGATGCCGATCTCTTGATCTAAAGGTTGTCGAGCCTTGGTCGCTCTAGTTTGTGGTGACGGCCCTTGATCGGCCTTGGTTATTCGTGCGTGTTGACTATTGGCCTTGATCGCCGATTTTAGCATGTCAAACGCTGATTTGTCGGCCAAAACGGCACGAATGAAATTGCCAGGATGGACCTTACCTTCCTGATGCTGAAGGAGGTTCTGAGAAGTAAGGATGGATCCGGAATCTTGTGGAATATTTCCATCGACGTTCGTCATGACTTCTTTGTCAGA